TCCAGACAGAAAAGAGATGGGTCGTGTCATTTAAAATCTGACTTTTCTACGGGAGATTGAACCATTTATATGTAGGGTTATTACTGAACATAAAGTGGCTCTACCTCATACATTTTGCTATTTGTGTGTGTGTGTGTGTGTGTGTGTGTGTGTTTTATAGTTACTCTGTCTTTTTATTCTTATTTTTCTGTTATTTGCATTTGACTGCTTTCTTGTGGAAAGCATTTCACTTCTTCTCTCTTTTCATTTCTTGTCTCTTCTGTGTATTTTTCTAGGTGATTTAAGATATAAAAAAAGATTATATACATTAACATATCTATAGCTGCTTTGTTCTTCTCTCTCCCATTTCCCTTGGTGAGTCTCCATTAACATTATAGTATATCCTACATCAATATGAGTTAGGTGTACATGAGAGGGCTTCAAAAAGTTCATGGAAAAATTCCATTATCTTTTAATATCATTTTGTTACAAAATTTTTGAAGCCCCTTCATATTTAACCATCGGTCTGTTTTCTGAGATGATTATGTTATTTCCACCTACCGCCAGCAATGCATGAACATTTCAGTCCCTGGCATTGTTAGCACTTAGAATATTGTTAAACTCTTTATGCTAACCATCCCAGAGTACACAATCGCATCTCACTGTGGTTTTCCTTTGCGTTAGCAAAACCTTTTCATAGTGGCCATATTTGCATGTCTTTTTATTGGCATATAATTCACATATCATACAATTCAATAGCTCAATCACATGAGGAAGAGTTGTACAATCATCACCACAATCAGTGTTAGATACGTTTTCTTCATTGTTGTTCATCGTTATTAACTCCACATTTTCTCCCCACCTCCCCTTGCTATACCTCCCAGGAATCCAATATCTTTAGATTTACCGATCCTGGATTTCATATACAGTGTTTAACTTTCTTGGAATCATATGCTCAAATGTTTTATCCAATTTTTAAATAGTATTTTTTTCTTTTTATTAATGAGCTGTAAGAGATTTATGCATTCAATTTGCAAGTTATTGTGACACTTCATTCTGACCTTACTGGTTTCTGGTAGAAAATTAGCAATCATTTGGATTATTGTTTCCCTCTAAGGAATAGTTTATTTTTATTCAGAGTGTTTTCAATATATTTCCTCTCTCTTTAGTTTTCAGCAGCTTGATGATGGTATCTGGGTGTCTCCCATTTGAGGTTTGCTGAATTTTTTTAGCCTATGGTTTATGTTTTCTACCAAATTTTAGAAATTTTCAGGAGTACTGTGTTAGTCTGAGTAGACTATAGAAACAAATTCATAGACACTCATGTGTTTATGAAAGAGGTTTATATACAAGAGCAATTGAACATTGAGGAAACATCCCAGCCTAGTCAAGATCAAGTTCATAAGACCAGATATTAGCCCATATGTCTGATATCTATCTATAAAGTCCTCTTCAGACTCACAAAACACATGCAATAATGCCGAATGTAGAAGATCACAGACCAGTAGGTGGAAAGTCTTGTAGATCCAGTGGTGTTGTAAGCATCTCAGCACTGGTAGGGGTCTCCCTCTCCAAGTCCAGGCTTCTGGCTGCATCAGGGGAGGTCCATCTGGCTTCTCCTCAGGGATGCCTGGCAGGGAGTCACCCTGTCAGCAGAGAGTCTCCAAGGGAGTGAGCAGAGAGAGAAAATCTCCCGCCTCCACGTAGGAGGAAAACAGGTTTCCTAGAATTCTCAGGAGAAAGCCATGCCCACACAGAGGCCTCATTGGCTATGATCTGATTGACAGACTAGACTCCACCCCTTCACCTCTCAAGTCCCGCATTGACACCAGATTATGTAACTACCACAAGTACTTTTCCAGCATGTTTTTCCTGCACTTTTCTCGTTCTCCTCTTCTTTTGAGGGCATACGTATTAGATCCTTTAGTATTTTTCTACTTATTTTGGTAATTTTCTTCTGTGTTGTTCCAGTGGGATGTCCCTGTGTCAGGGCCGTTCTGGTCTTCGGTTTCTTCAGTGAGTTGTTGTCACGCTGCTGATGCAGTTTTAGTCATTTGATTCTTCCGTCTGTGGCCGAGAGGTCTCCTTTCTGTTCATTGCAAGCACTTTCACCCTCACTTATGGGAGCATTTTTACAATAGCTGATGAAGAACTGAAATGGCCAATGCCAACCTCTATACCCTGCTTCCATCGGCATCCAATGTCTCTCGTTGTCTTTCTTTAAAATGAAAAGTTTTATTGGCATACAAGCAATACAATCATCACCACATCAACTTTAAAACATTTTCTTCTTCCTTGTACTCATTGTTATTAGTGTACTCATTATTTTTTATGTTATCAAATTTACTGTTTATTGCTCTTTTTAAAGAAGGACCATTTGATTTCCATGGGTTTTCTCCATCATTTTTCTTTTTCATTGAATTCTGCCTTTCTATTTATTATTTCTTCCTTTCCTATTACTTTCTGTTTAATTTGGTTTTATTCTATCTTAAGGTGGATGCTCTGAATATTTATCTTAAACATACCTTTCTCATATAAGAAATGAAGCTATTAACTTTTCTCAGAGGTACCATTTTTAGAAGTATGTTTTAACAGCTCTGAAATCAGAATGCATCTTGCATCCACTAATTATAACTGTCACTATTTTCTGCCTTCTAAAACCCAAACTCAATGCCATCAGGTCAACTCCAACTCATAGCGACCCTACAGTGCAGGGTAGAACTGTCCCTGGGGGTTTCTGAGACTCTAACTCTTTATGGAAGTAGAAAGGCAGGGCTTTCTGTACAATGTGGTTTTGAACTGCTAACCTTTTAGATCACAGCTCCCAATTTAACCACTATGCCACTAGGGCTACCCCCCCTTTTCTTAGTGGTACATACAATCCTCACTTTCATTGCCTCAAGTCAATTCCAACTCACAGCAACCCTATAGTGCTGGGTAGAACTGTCTCTGGGGGTTTCCATGACTGCAAATCTTTGTAGGAGTAGGAGGCCTCATTTACTTCTCTTGGTGGTTTTGATACAATGAAATGCAGTTTATTATTATTATTATTATTATTATTATTATTATTATTATTATTCTGAAATGTATTTATCTCGTAATTGCTTAGTTATACTGGGTGACCTCTAGCTGCTTTCTTCACAACACAAGACTTGTGCATATATTCATTTTATACAATGAATAGCCATCTTTTTATGCATTGTCTCCAAGATTGAGGACTCTTTTAGTGCTTCCTTTAATCCTCTGAAGTCCCCATAGAATGCTCTGTTTTATGCACAGTATGGGACACTTAAATAAAACAAAGAACAAGAAAAACTCAACTGCAGTAGTGTAACATTAAAAATTCCTCTAAAACAAAAACTCTATGAACCTGTAGTTAAGGTGTACTTTAAAAGAAATAGTGCCAGTGAGTTTTATGTCTTTAGATGCACAGTTTGGTGCTTATATGCTGAAATACATCTTATTACCATTCCTGTTAGTAGTTGCAATTTTTCCCTTTAGGCAGAAGTTACCTTTGAGTCTCTTTCCTACTCAAAATATGCACGTCTTCATCTTATACACCAAGAGGCCTGGTGGCACTGCAGTTACGTGCTCGACTGCCAACCCACCTAACAATGTGAACTCCCACAGTGACCACCTGAGAGAAAAATCTGGTGATCCGGAGAGGCCAAAGCCCAGAGAGCACCGGGCGGTTCTGCTCTGTCACGTGGCATTACCATCAATCAGAACAGACTCCGCAGCTATTGAAATGGGCTCAACCTACTACCTACGCACTTTCCTTTTCTGTTTATTCATTTGTCTTGCTCGGTATGTACTTCCCCTATGGAGATTTTAACTGTAAGTTTTCATTTTCTCGATCTTAATTAAATAGTCGACCATAAAAAGCGTCTCTCCGAACGGCACCCATTAGCTCCTTGATCTCTTGTCTTCACACCCCAAGAGGCGTCTCTGGCCCGGCGATGTTCTGGTCTAGATTGAAACAGGGCTTTAAGCCTTGTACACTCCGCTCTTCCTCTCTAGAAGCAGACTTTGAGCTGATTGCGTTTCGTTCTCTTGGTTTCTTTCCCCATCCCAGAAAAGTTCAAACCGACAGATCTACACTGGGCATTGACCTTAGAGCACAACCCAAAGGAATTGCTAGGCTGTGTCCTCTCAGCTGCCTGTGGCACGGCTGTAAGGGGGTTTGTTCTGACATTGGCAGCCTTTCATACTAAGCAGATCTGCCTTCCTTCTTTCTCAGAAAACTCCATGTTCCCATGGCCTCTGCTCTTTGATAGGAAATCAGCATGGATGCTTATCAGTTAGAATGCTACTGGCTCAGAATAACAAATATCCCACTGAAGATGGTTTAGACAATGAGGACGTAGTTCGTCTCACTTAATGGGAGATCTAGAGTCAGGCTATCCTCGGGTTGGCGCAGCGGTTTAGTGATTTGGGGAGTCTAGGCCTTCCTTTAGAGCTTCAAGGTAGCTGCTGGTATCCAAGCATCATGCCCTGTCCAACAACCCTCCCAGAGCTGGGAGTGGGGACAAGGCTTTCTTCTGCTTGTGTGTTTCTCTCTCACCGAGGAGGAGAACTTTCCCAGTAGCCCTCACTTGTAAAAGCTTATACATCTCATTGTCCATGATGGTGTCCCACCATGTGATGGTCGTACAGGGGTCCAGAAACACACGTACCTAGAAGAGTGGCCCACTGTAATGAGAAGTGGACTCCGACGACAGCAAGCCAGGGGAGGGCTGAGAATGGCCACTGGGTGTACAACCAACAGTGTCCACACTTGTACGCGTAGGTGCACGTGTGTGTTGTGTCTGTGTGTATAAGTTAGAGAGAGGGAAATCGATGTTGATTTTTTGTGTGGATTAAGGTTCTTATTCCTAAATGAAATAGGACATAGATTCAAAGCAAAACTTTAGGTGGTTCGCCTCAGTGAGGGACAATCGTGACGTTGTTTGCCTCCTGTGACATGATCAGAACTTTATGTTTCGCCTTAGTCATTTGAAATTTTGGTTTCATGGTTTCAGGTTGAGTCCAGAAATTTTCATGAAACGCCCGGTGGTTGAAGGAAATCGCTGGAGATTGGACTGCATTCTTAAACGGAAAGCAGTACGTACTTTACGAGCAGCTGCTGATATATGTTTATTTCCCCTGAAATGTCATTCTCAAAATTCTTCATACATGCTTACAACTTTTTATCTTTAGAGTTTGATAAATACTGGAATGCTTGCTCTTTTACCCTGATTTTTTTAAATTACTCCTGAACTCCTAGATAGGTGAGCCAAATTCATAGCATGGATTATATTATGAACTTTAATTTTTATTTTTAATCATTGATGGGTAGTAAAATTTATAAGCACGTTTTTTCATGAAATTCTATCATTGAATACTATTTGAAGGCATGAAATACAGCATTTCATATTCATTATTCTGTAATTTGGGCAAAAGACAGAGTCACCTGGAGTGTCGTTTTAGCGAGAATGAGCCCAGCTGACAAGAAAGGCTATCAGAGGGTGAAAACGGCTGGTGCCTTGGTTCCATTTCTGAGAGTCCGGGGACCAGTGCCCATGCCTTGGGCCCCAGCGGCTCGGGGTGAGCAGGGCGTATGCTCCTCTGATTATCAGAGCAAGTCAATGTAGCATGGTAGGCTCACTAACGACCACTTGTCACTTGTTTTCTAACGGACATTTTTAACCAAATGAAGTAAAATGATACAAACTTTATTATTCACCATGTACAAACCAGGTGTGCTTTGTACTATTATTGAAAACTGTAGAATCTTTCTTTCTTCGGTCATTAAACAGTCTAGCAGAATTTGTAGATTGCGAGCAACTGTTGGTATGATTTTTCTACTACTTGTAACCTTCCCTCGTCTCACCTTTCCTATTCCTTTTTTTTTAATATTCTTTTCTTTTTTATTTGTTTTTTAAAAATCATTTTATTGGGGGCTCATACAACTCTTACCACAAGCCATACATACATCAATTGTGTAAAGCACATTTGTACATTCATTACCCTCATCATTCTGAAAACATTTGCTCTCCGCCTAAGCCCCTGGCATCGGCTCCTCATTTTCCCCCTCCCTATTCGCTCCCCACTCCCTCATGAACCCTTGATAGTTTATAAATTATTATTTTGTCATATCTTACACTGTCCGATGTCTCCCTTCACCCACTTTCCTGTTGTCTGTTTCCCAGGGAGGAGGATATATGTAGATCCTTATAATCGGTTCCCCCTTTCCACCCCACCCTCCCTCCACCCTCTTGGTATCGCCACTCACACCACTGGTCCTGCAGGGATCACCTGTTCTGGATTCCCTGTGTTTCCAGTTCCTATCTGTACCAGTGTACATCCTCTGGTCTAGCCAGACTTGCAAGGTAGAATTGGGATCATGATAGTTGGGGAAGAGGAGGGGAGTGGGGGAGAAGCGGGTTGGGGGGAGGAAGCATTCAGGAACTAGAGGAAAGTTGTATGTTTCATTCTATTCTTCTTCTTGCATTCTCTCCTCCCCCATGACCTCCATTTCTTTTCTTCATGCTTTTGTTTTGGTATTTTTAAAGCCACCCATAGTGGTAGTCAGACATCATTGCTGATACTGAAAGGTGAAAGAAGTTGATAGTTTTGCTATCCAATAGGCTAGCCAGCCTAGTTTTCATGGCGAGTCTAATTCCTCGACTCAGCGAATTTCATTGACCCATATGGGAATTCTGATCCTAAAAGGTGTTCTTCACCAATTTGTATATTCATTCACTAGGGTATTCATCACGCAGTTACTGAATGTACTCTTTTAAATGAGTGTTGCCATAGTCAAACAATGCCACCTTCCCCTGACAAAACTAGAGCAACTGCCCAGCCGTGCCCCTGCTGGCAGCCCGGTGTGTGTCAGCGTCAACGGCGCCATAGGGTTTTCCATGACTGTGATCTTTCCAAAGCAGGTCAGCAGGGCTTTCTCCCAAGATGATTCTGGGAGAATTCGAACGGCCAGCCTTTTTCTTCCTTGTTTCCACCATCCATCGACTCCAATGGATGTCGTGATACAGATGATGCCATCGTGTCCATGGAAAGTTTCACAAAGACCTCATGCTCTGGTCCCCTCTTTTCCAGACCTCTCTCTACTCTGGAATTAGCTGTAACTTTCTCTCTCTGAAATGGTACCTTTCTCATTTCTCAAGATTTCGTTTCAGTAACTCCTCCCAGTTTTAGCTAACAATCTCCAATCATACGAAACAATCCCCTCCGCGTAGTATTGAGACAAATACTTCCCTATTTTTGCTTTCACTAAACATGAATGTGCTCAATGCCCTGTTCCGTGAAGGGTTTTTTGCTAATCAAATGGGGATTTACATACACTAAAGATATGATAATTCACCTGAAGTATAAAAGTCTACATAAGTATTACATAGGTACAGAGGCAATGGCAAGATTCGAAGATTCAAAGATTCAAGCACATATGATCCAAGAGGCCCCTCAGGATGAGCAAAACCTCGTGGAGGAAGTGGGGAAAGACATTTCAAGATGTAGGAAATGTTCGGAGGAAACACGCAGCAGGCTCTGCCCATCACAGTCAGGTGACAACTGAGTGTTCCCATGGGGGGATGGGGACCAACCTGGAACTCCAGGCTGATGAGGATGAGTAGCCTGTATGGGGGAGGAGGGGAAGTGGGTGATTGACTAGGGGAGGGACTCTGATAGTGGGAAAAGGGGGAGAACCCATATTCACACACCAAGCTTTAGACCACCGAGTGTGACATGCGGACAGGACAGCTAAGGGACTGCCAGAACATTAGCAAGTGCCTGAGCAGGGCTCAGGAGGAGGGTCCTGCAGGTCTGACCCTCCAGCCTCCTATTGGCTGGGATGTGTTGGTCCACTTCCTTTGAGTGCCCGGAGGGTGACTGGTGTGTCACGAGGATGGCCTCGTTCTACTTTTAGGCCTCACGAACTCCGGTGAGGCCCTGGGTGAACACCGGAGCCAAGGAACTAGTGTTGTCTAATAATGGTGCTTCGTATATCTCTCACCCACTTCCTGAATGCTGTACTGTTTAAATTGTGGGTAATGATTTCTAAAATTTCTTGAGGAAAGAGTCATACTATTAAAGATTAATTCCTCGCCAGTAGACTTAGCACAATTGTTGTTCCTTAATCAGTTGACACCCTCTTACTAGTTGGGGCCTGCATTTTTTACCACTCGGATCATTCCGAATGGGAATTCCATATGCTCATAAATCTTACTTCATGTAAATGACTTAGACTTTGGAAGCCGCAAAAAAACCTTACAAAGTATTGGCTTGAAAAACTAATATTTAGTCTTACACTGTTGGGCCCCTGAAGACCATAATGTTGATTAAAATAGAGTTTTAAATCTGATTGCACAAGTTTTATTTTGTTTTGTTTTTGAGAGGAATTTAGGGACTCTACCTCATACACGCATCCCACATGTAAGCAAGCACCTGTTATGATAGTCATTTATTAGGGAAAAATGCAATATTTTGTTGCTCTAGTAATAAATGTGTTGATATTTTCCTGTTTCTTTGGCTGTCTGATATGCAATAGCATCATTTAAAATAGTATAGACCAATATTGAGAGGCAGATGGGTTAAACATAAAGAAAACTGCCTCTCAAGGGTTTCCATAGTTCTACCCTTTGTTCCACTTAAACTAGGGGAAAAACAAAGCACCCCCCAGTCCGCGCAGTCGATTCTGGCTCACGGCAGCCTTGTGGGTCTAGAGCAGAACTGCGCTCTGTAGGGTTCTCAAGGGTCTGGGCTTTGAGAAGCATGTCACTTGGCCTCTCTTGGTTTCTCGGGTGTGCTTGGACCACTGACCTTTCAATTAGTTCTCAAGTGTTTACTGTGTGTGACACCCAGGGGTTAATGCACATCATCGTCAGGAGAGCTGTGCCCCTTGATTGGGCTTATTTTAGCCTTAAAAACATGTGCTATTCCTGATGAGATGTACACCAAAGCAACATGTAAGTGCAGGGACCAGGAGACGTTCACAAAGAGAGTCTGCATGTCTGGGGACAAAAGTTGTCTTCAGGCTGATTTCTTTGTATCTTTGGCCCGGAAGTATGTTCTTGAGTTGCGATCAGTGGCTCATAAAAGGGCCAAGTGTCCAGTTTGCCAAGGGAGACAAATGATCACATCTGAAAATCAAACTGAACCTTATCGATAGGTTCACTAAGGCTAGAAGGCTTTGTGGATAAGAGAGATGATCTCTTAACATGGAGAGCGAGGTTTCAAACAGATTGGTTAGAAGTGAAGGTGGCGGCTGGGGGAGGGGGAGGGGGTGGATGGGGACATGAAGAATTGTTCTCTGGAACCCTCCCTAGATCGTCCTACTTTCCACCCTTTGCTCTGCCTCTTCCTACAGCCCCAGAGACGTTCAAGTGATAAGATTAGTGAGTGATCTAAGGGTGTAGAAACTGAACCATCTTCAGGCATCTGTGAACTCAGCTTACCTGCCCCCAGAGACTACTTTGACCCGGTACTTTGAACTAGCAGAGAAAATGCCAGCTAAGGAATAAAGTCACTTTGTTTTCAATTCAAATTTAAAAAGAAATCATTGTCTTCACATGCGTTTTGTGTTTAAACGATCTCTGTTGAGAATGCTTGTTCTGCTCCACTCGTTGAGGAAACTAAGTAGAAAAAAGGACAGAATTTATCATTTGAAAATGAACTTTCACAAAGTTTGCTCTGGGGCGCTTTCCGGTGAGTGGGGTTCAGCAGAGAGAAGAAACATGACATGCAAACAAGTTGGGGGCAGCGGTTCCTCTGATCCCACTTCCTTTGCCTGAGCGGAAGTCATTCCCCCCAGACTCACTCCAAAAGCCAAACTTGCTGCCATCAAGTCAACCCCGAGTCAAACTGCCCCTTTTCCGAATGCTGTGAATCTTTAGGAGAATGGAAAGCCTCATCTTTCCTCCATACAGTGGCTGGGAGATTCGAACTGCTGACCTGGCAGTTAGCAGCCAATGCAAAAACCACGATGCCTCCAGGGAGAGTCACCAAAAGCACATTGATATAACCTTGTATGTGTCCAGGAAGAGTAATTCTTATGTTATAGAGTTGACATCAGCCCTTTTTAATGTGTACTTTAAATTGGGCTTTCTTTGCACACATTCCCCAGGTTTTGTGTAAGTTTGCACTATTGCGACACAATCCAAAGCCCCAGTCCCAAGGACATGCTTCCTGTACCTTCCCAGTGTTGCAGTACCTCGCCCCAAAGTCGAATGTATTACTTTATTATCATGTATCTTGTCACTAATTAACCATTTGTGTGGATACAGGTGTAAGTCAATATTTAAAATGGTCAAATATTTAAATGGTATCCACACGATGGTTAATCAGTGACAAGATAGATAATAAAGTGATAAATTCGACTTTGGGGCGAGGTACTGCAATGCTTTCATGACATTTTCTTATGCGCCATGCCTTTTCTCATCGGCATAAATTCACTCTAAAGGAAACAGAGTAGAGAACTTGAAAGCCTGTTCCATTAAACACAAATGACGAATCAGGAAGTAAAAACATAGAATAAGTTCATTTTATGTGGTCTGTCATATTTTATCAAAGTCAGGTATTAGGACATGGAGAGAAATAATGAGATCCTTTAGGGTTGGCATCTCTATTATGTAAAACATTTATCTGCTATACAGGTAATTGGAAAACTATAGCACTTAAGCTCAGTGCCCACCTATTGCCTTGCTGCGATCCGCAAGGTCATCAGTTTGAAACCACCAGCAGCTCTGTGGGAGGAAGGTGGGGCTTTCTACTCCCATAAAGAGTGACAGTCTCGGAAACCCAAAGGGGCTGTTCTAGCCTCTGCTAGAGGGTCGCTATGAGTCCGCATCGGCTCAATGGAAATAAGTTGTGTTTTGTGTGTGCGTGTGTTTTGACCTACAGAAATAATAATATATTAAGCCTAACAAACAATTCCATCCATTTAAAATGAATGACTCATGATTTTAAAAAAAGTGTCACGTATAATGTTCTATCATTTAGATTGAAATTTGGGGTTTTAAGCTTTATCGAGTATCTGTCCATGTTAGACTTAAAACAACAACAACTATGATTGAATGCTGAATTGGAAACTAACCGAAGAGCAAAGTAAATCTGAGCAGCAGAGGGGAAGCCTGGAGAGGTTTTCTAGTTCCTTTTCAGCACCCTCAGCTAGTGGGCCGAGTGGGGACCCACTGAGAGGACCATGGCAACCAGTCTGCTCCCTTCTTTTCTTCCCCTTCACTCCCTTATTTCTGGCCTCACATCCATGCTCCGTGCTTAAGTAAACTCTAAAATCTGGCAGTTAGTCAGAGAAGTGGAATGCCATCTACGTACATTTTCCATTCAGTGCCTCTGAATGGTCTCAAATTTCTCACCTTTCCGTCAGCTGCTGGGTACGTCACCATGTACACCACCCAGGGGATCCTATCACACAAGACTAAGATGTGTCTCAAGATAAATGGGGTAGTAGAATTTTGACATGATGAGTTATTAGTTGAAACTTAGGGAACAAAATATGCTTATTAGTATTAACAGAGCAATATCACAAAACTATGTATATGTTTGGTTTTCTCTTATACCCCATTATTTCCAACCTAGAAAATATTAAATTATATGCTATTTCACATTTTCATAGCCTTGTGAAAATATCCAGTTCTTATAAATTAGATAGTTTCAACCTAGTAAGATTTCTTGAATGTGTGATTCAAATTTATTATATCAAAATTTCTTATCACTGTAATTTTAACTAGTTGAGGTACAATATATGAGGAGTGAGGGTTTCAGTTCATACGCGCATGCATGTATTCCTTACAAATGAGTTTGAATGTGTCTCTACCATCAGCTTATGTCAGTAGACAAGTTCCCGCAGTAATGCATTTGTCTTAGCCTTGATTGGGTGTCTTCTTTTAAAAAAGGGCCTACTCAAAACAGTCGTATCGCTGTTCCCGTTCCTGTTCCTGGGTTCTGTGTGCTGTGAGCTTATCTCTTGCCTGTCCCTATGCACATGTTCTGGTCCAGTCCAGAGTGTGAGGCAGCACTGGAGTCATGAGCTGGTCCCAAGGGCTCAATAGAAAGTAAATGTCTAGAAAAGAATGATGCCAATATGTGCAAATATGTCTGATACAATTGATGTATGGATTGTAACAAGAGTTGTAAGAGCCCCCAATAAAATGATCTTTCAAAAACAAAACAGTGGCTTACAAGGGATTCTGCTGGGCCAGTTCAATCCATAGTAGGCAGGTCCGTTCAGAAGGTTACGGCAACTCTTTTGAGGACTCCCAAGGGATAATCTTGGTGTGCATGCTAGCAGGACACACAGGATGATCGTGAGGGATTATTATTTTAAAATATTTAGAAAAATGAAAATTGATAAGAAAAAGTCCAAGAAATGTACATCAAGCAAGTTCTTTCTATAACAATGCACTGCTCTCTCTTCAGAGTCAGAAGGGCTTTCCTATGAGATTTTTGTTGGGCAACCTTACACCATCTATAACCATGGCCTTGCCCCATCAGACTTCCTTTTCTCAAACCTCAAAAGTCCTTCAAGGATGTCAGAACTGCGCTTCGATGTGGTGTACATCAAAGAGCGCAGAATTCTCCAGGAAGAGTTATGAAGATGGAAACGCTCACTGCCTTCAGAAGCATATGCTTGTAGACCTAGATGGAGGCAGGTTGAGAAATTATACCTCCATATTTTGATATTTTTGTTTAAGAAAGGTCTCTGTAATTTTATCACACTGCTTTTTTTTCTTTTACTTAACCTCACAAATAAACAAGCAAACAAAAACCTCGAACCTTGTCATATGAGTCAGGTTAAAACTTTCGTCAATGACAAGGGTTTGGAATGGTTCGATGATGTAAGAACATCAAATCCTTTTTAGAAAGTTAGGTTACAATTTTCATCTGTGTTTAGTCAAATATTGAGACTTGTTTGATGTTACAGGTTGATAGAAATGAACATGAGGTACATTTTTATGAGGAGGTATCCCCCTAAAAGCTGAAAAACATATTTTCAAAGCTATGTATTTAATTTTTTTTACAAAACATGCTTGTCACCTTCAAAGTACTCTCCAATAGACTTAAAACATCTGTCAAATCTGTGATTCCATTCTTGGAAACATTTTTCAAACTTATCTGTTTGGATGACTGACAGTACCTCTGTTTTTGTCTTCACCTCTTCTATGTCTTCAGATCCCTGTCCTTTCATGCCCCTCTGCCTTCACAGAAACAAAAAGAAGTTGCACGGAGTGAAGTCAGGTGCGGGGGGCAAGAGAGGCAAGCTGTTTTTTGCCCAACACTGGTGCACTGAGATGGCTGCAGGAGCAGGTGCCTTGTAGTGGTGGTAAAACCAGTCCCTCATCTGACACAAAGCAGGCCATTTTTGTCAACACTGTTAAGCCATATTTTCAGAACCTCTAAATAGAAAATTCTACTAATAGTTTGACCTGCTGGAACAAACTCCAAATGCACTAACCCCCTCAGGTCAAAAAACAAATAAGCATCGTCTTGATCTTTGATTTCACTTGATGAGCTTTTGGGGGGCCAGGTGACAATGGCACCTTCCACTGGCTTGATTGATATTTGCTTTCAGGGTCATAAAAATAAGCACCATGTCTCATCACCAGTAATGATCTTGGGGGAAAGTCTGTGTCACTTTGTAGCTTTTCTTTCAAAGCGTGGCAAGTTTCCACTCGATGATCTTTCCTGGTCAGTCAGAACCCGAGGCACAAATCTCACAATAACCCTCTCGTTCCCCAATCTTCTGTTAAAATTTGCTGAACCAAGCTCCAAGATCCTCAGATAACTTCCCCATCTTTTCAATGTTCTGTTGTCAGTCTTTGAGCACAAGCACATGAATTTTGTCAACATTTTCATCCATTTGGGAAGTTGACAGATGTCCAGAAAGAGGTTTGTCATCGATTGACATTTCACCTTTTTTGAAATGAGCAAAACCACTTGTCCACTTGAGTTTTCCCCATAGTGCTGTCCTTATGAGCTGTGGTCAACACCACACGTTTCTGTGGCATTTTCCTGAGCAGGAAGCAAAATGTCACAGCTGCACACGGTCCTCTTAAAGTGGCCATCACAAACAACGATGTTCGAGTGAAACTGATTTTATGAAAAAATTCACCGTGACCAGAGCAAATCTTCCCAGGTGATGCCACTGGGTACACTCACTCTAAGCTAGTTGTTTGATGTTCGCCTAACAGGAAAAATGCATACGATTAAAGCTCTACCCAGTGAAGGTTTTTTTTTTTGGGGGGGGGGCGGTTCCCCCCCACATCTCCACTTTATGTTGCCTTTCCATTAAATATTTTATTATGCTTGTTTATTGAAGAAATATTGGGAAATATAATGTACAGAAAGGAAGAAGAAAAAGATAATCTACCTCCCAGATATATTCACTTCTCCTTGTGTTTTATTTGCGGCAGCAACAGGGCGTGAGGATCTTCATAATGCTCTACAAGGAGGTGGAACTTGCTCTCGGAATCAATAGTGGATACAGCAAGAGGACGTTAATGCATCTACACCCCAACATAAAGGTATTCAGGTTTCTCTTGGTGAACAAAGTTTCTCCTTGATTATTCTGTGGGAAACTTTGTATATTTTACCCTTAAGCATTGGTAATCTGGTGAATTTCCTAATGTTTATTTTGAATAATTAACCTTGCACCCTTTCTTAATTAGAAAAAAAACTATGAGGGACTTGAAAAGTCAGGGAAAATGGAACTAAAAGGTACTTGAAGGATCCAGCAGCAATGTGATAGGGTTCAAGATCAACATATAAAAACATTTTGATTCCTTCGTGCTTACAGAGAGAGCTCTGAAAAGAACATCAGGAAAACAAGACCATCTGCCACAGCCACCTGAAGGATGAAGTATTTAGGAAAACATCTACCAAGAGCCCCAAAATATCCAAACACACGGCACAAACCAGATGAAAGATGCACCGCAGAAGAACAATTAAGGGACTGGGGCCTCCTAAAAATCAGACACTTATGTGCATCAAAATACTTCATCAAAACAGCTAAAAGAAAACTCAGACTGGGGAAAACATGTTGGCAATTACATATTGGACAAGGGACTCATGACAAGATTCTATAGAAAACTTTAATACCTCAACAAGAAAAAAGGCGAGTAATACGGACAGTGGGCATGAACTAAAGAAGACATTCAGGCAGCCAACAAATACATGAAATGCTCAAGATCGTGAACCACTGTGGAGATGCAAATCAAAGCAGTGATGAAACGCCCCCTCCTCTCAGCATGAATAACAGAAGTTAAAAAACAAACAGAAAACAAATACTAGCAAGGCAGTGGATGGACTCGAACCCGCATGCCCTGCTGGTGGAACTAGAAAATGGTACAGCCACTGTGGAAAGCAGCTTGTCACTTCCTCAAAAAGTTGGAAATAGAATTAGTAGCTGACCCAGCAATCTCACTATTTGGTATGTCCTAAAGGTATCCGAGCCACAGTACAGATAGATATGTGCACACCCATGGTCATCGGAGCACATTTCACAATAGCAAAATGATGTAAGCAATCTAAACGCACATTGATGACATAATGGGTAATGAAACTTTGGTGCATCATGCAATGGACTAAAATGCAACATTGCAGAATAACGAATCTGCCAATACCTGATAGCATGGATGAGCCTGGAGGTTATTGTGCGGAGCAAAATTAATCAGAAGAGGACAAATTTTGTAAGAGACAACTACAATAAAAAGTCAAGAAAATGTTTGCACATTAAATGAAACATACTTCGATCATTCCCAGGGGAAGGGAGGCGAAGTCACAGGGGGATATGCAGGTCTTAACTTGTGTGAAGGGGAAGGAAGTCCTACAAGAAGGAGCCCCAAACCAAACTCAGTGCCCGCGGAGGCAGGGCAAGACTCGGGACCATTTGCAAGAGTTACAGGCAACAGAGACACATAATATTATATATGCAGCCTTGCAATAGTGGTGATTACAAGTAGATGCTTAGATAGACATACAGGCTAAACAGATGTCGGAGGGAAAGTGGTGGGAGTATATCTATCTATTCATATCTTTGTCAGAGGATATACAGTATGTATATTTCTCTTTATTGCACATATCTCCACGAATGTGGTGGAACACACAGGAGGCAAAGTTATGAATAGTTCTCAGACATAACCAAACTCTTTGAGGGAGTAAATTGTAGGTCTTAGAGGATCAGGAATACAGTCTTGGGGAATACCAAGTACACAGAGATGATGCTCTACATCCTACTTGAGTTAATCGCAGCTTGAATTTCATAAGCTCATTAATAGTCATCTAAGGTGCAGCCATTGGTCTCTCTCCATCCAGAGGAAAGAAGAGTGATGGGAATTGAAAGACATATGGAAACAATTAGTCCAATGGACTAATCCAGCCAACCTATCCCCGAGACGACAAGAACTAGTTGGTACCCAGCTACCACTGTCGGTTGCTCTGAAATGAATCGCATTAGGAGATCCTGGATGAGTTGGAGAAAAATGTGGAACAAACCTAAAAATCCTAAAAGATACCAGAGTACGCGTCAAATTGACGCAGGTGAAACTCCTGAGTCACTCTTCAGACCTGGAACTGAACCTACTGCTGTGGTAGAATAGTCAGTCATTTAAGAAGAAAAGGACAGTGTTTTCCCTATATCCAAGTTCAGAGGGTTAGTGTGTTAGGCAGGACTTTTGTTTCACTAGAGAAACAAAACCAGAACACTTATGATTATGCATATACATATAAGAGGACAGGTTTATATCACGAGAGGGCATATAACAGCTAATTAGTCCACACAACAGTACAGAGAATTCAGTTCAACTCACTTCCATAGAACAGTTAATATACTGGAAGTCCTTTAACTCACATGGGCTGCAGGATCCAAGGTCAAGGAAGCAGACAGCAGATCCTCCCTCAGGCAAGGCAAGCAGAGTCTGCCCACAGGCAGCAAACAGTAGGGTGGGTCACCAACAGTCAGTAGCTCAGGAGCTTAGTGAAGAAGGCCTGGGTGGGATATCTAACACAAGCAATGCAAGGCAACAGGACACACCCGCCTCAAACTCAAGTGATGTCTGCACCAGCAGCATGGCGAATCAGGTTTCAAAGGAGGCTCAAACTCTAGCAACATGATCCATGGATTGGCTTGCCCCACAGGTAGTGTAGCTCACCAGTTGAAGCAGAGTACTAGCTACAGCAGCAGCAAGCTCCAGTACTCTCTGATCAGCAGTGAGCAAGAGAGAGGAGGGACAGCCTTGCAGAGCCATTTATCTCTTCGCCCTCCAATCAAACTGTGGCCTGATTAATCCTATTGGCCAGGTTGTCACAATAAACCTAACTATCACATTCCATCCCCTGCCAACTTGGCCCCTGTACACAATTCTTTAGCCATGTATAATTTCCAGACATTAATGAAATCACACTTAATCCTAACATCATACATATAATTGAAAACACACTGAATCTAATTATACCTGGTACGTCGTACATGAACAAAGGACAGATATTCACATAAGCACATATAAAGAAAAATACTGACAATCACAAACCTTGCTTTTGCATTTAATCATGTGGTCCTAACTGATAGGTAGAACTACCTTCTTTTACTACCCATTCTGTATTACCTTTGCCCTTGGCCAGCACCTCAGCTGGCCGTGGTTCTTTGCCTGGTGGGAAGATTGAGGGGAAATGAGGAGCTAATAAAAATGAGTACAAGAAAGAAGAAAATGTTCCAAAATTAATTATGGTGACTATTGTACAGCCCTTCTTAATTTGATTGAAGTACTTAATTGTATGATATATGAATTATGTCAATAAAACTTAAGCAAAAGGCATATGAGTATAGGATAGGTCAGAGAAGCATTGTTCAAGGGAATTGTAATTGCAAAGAGGAAGTTAATAGCTTCCCAAAGTTCCTTTCCAATCCAGAGCTGCCAAAATGTCTACCTATAACTGCATGCTTACTACTTCAACTTAATGGCTATAAAAAATGCCAATACAATTACTAAAAATCTTTCTAGACATAGAGGTTAATTAGAAAATTTTCAAGCTTAGTATATTCTGAGATATAAGATAATGTTTATAGGAGGGACAGTGAACCAGATGCCAAAATGAGCTGATAAGTTTTGGCGTTTGAGATAAAAACTCAAGTTAAATAACAACTCTCCAAAGAATGATGTATAAAGGGGCTTTGAAAAATTGGTAGGAAATGGGATGGAAAGATAATGGAATTTTCCCAGCAACTTTCTGAAGTCCCTTCATATAAGGGAGCCCCTAAAATATGCATAGAAGTCTTCCTCTGAGAAAGCAGTGGGACCAAGAGTCTCGGGGAGACCTGGGGGTGAGGGTGGTGGGGGTAGGGGCACTATAGACAGGAGAACAACTAGGGTAGTAGAGTCAATAACAGGAGGAGACAGGGGTCCGGGGATGGGAGTGGGTCAGAGCAACAGCAAACTAGCTAAGAGGAGGTACCAAGAGGCAGAAATAAGGGGAAAGTGATGGTGGGGCAGGAGGAAGGTAAAAGGAAACAGAGGAAGGACCCAGGAAGCAAAGCAATGGATAGAGGTATAAACATAGCGGTGTACATATGTAAATACATTAATCCACAAAAATAGAGGTATTGGCCCATGTACATATATTTATATGGCAATACACTGAGGTAGGGGGCGGACTTGGGGCCTCTGCTCATAACCCCCCTCAATACAAGAACACTTTGCTCTAAAAAATCAGCAGTCTGAGATGTTCACCCTCCCAGCACAATTGCTGAGACAAAATGGGTGCATAAACAATACAGTGAAGAAGGTGGATTTTCCTTGGCGTATACATAGCACGTTTTGTTTCTGGCATTTGAATTGGGGAAACAAACAGCAGACCTATTTAATCTAATGTGGTATCTTTTTGAAAGGACATTTTCCACTCCTTTTTATTAAAAAAAAATTTTTTTTAAACACTCCCCTGAAACATTGGGAGGATAACAAAGCACCACTGCTTCCCCCATAGCATCAAGTAGATTCTGGCTCCGAGAGCCTAAGTAGATTCTAAACTCTGTCTAGTGTTTCCGAGACTGTAAATCCTTGTGGGATCAGAGAGCCTCATCTTTCTCCCACAGGACAACTGGTGGGTTTGAACTGCTGGCCTTGTGGCGAGCACTATAATGCCTAACCCGCAATGTCACCAGGGCTCTTTAGTGGATAGTTGGCATAATTTATCCCCTTACAGTCTCTTACCACCGAAGTCAATGACCTCTCCAAGTCGCCAAAAGATATTCCTGTGTCCGTGATGTGTGGTGTGATTCTTCCCCTCAAGGTGATGAGGCACCCGGACCACGTGTCCTCCACCGTGTACCTGTGGGCTCATCACGAGAAGCTTGTCATCGTCGACCAGTCTGTGGCCTTTGTGGGTGGCATCGACCTGGCCTACGGAAGGTGGGACGACAGTGAGCACAGACTCACGGATGTGGGCAGCGTGAAGCGCGTCACTACGGGCCCCTCCCTGGCATCCCTCATAGTAAGAAAACCCCCACTTTTATGCAACTGTGCTGATAGACATACATTGTATAAGAAGGTGTTCATAGGATGGCATTAACTGGTTGATTGAGAGGCTGCAAAACCCTTAAGGGGTAAAAAAAAAAATGCAATCAACTATCAGATTGACTTGGTTACCAGCCTCACCACCTGGCTAGACTGTGACTATGAACCGGTCACTTAGCATCTGTGAGTCTTGGCTAGCTCTCTTGCAAACTGTGGCAAATCATTGTGAACTTCTTAGCACAAAGCCTGGCAGATTGTACAAAGCCCAGTAACGAACATTACAGCTGATGCTATGGGATGGTTGTAGCTAGTAAATGAAGGACTGGTTACAAAACTGGGTTGGTATGGAGCACGTAGCGATCATTCAGAATGACCATTTTAATTATTTATTCCTGCCTTGGTCTGGAAGAAAAAAATGACCAAACTGCCTGCAAAAAAAACAGTATTTTAAAGACACAGTCGCAGGGGTGGCAATGGTAGGATGAGCCTGAGGCAGGGAGTCCCTGAGGTACCATGCTGAGGCTTCTCGAGGGATCCCAGTGGTGGTGCTGGATGGATAGCGTGGTGCTGCGCACGGACCAGCATTGAAAGGCATTGAAGGCACGGAGCTCTGACACCACTGGAGGGATGGTTTTCATACGTTCTATTTTAAAGTACGTGTTGGCTACTCCTTTAGGCTGGTATAAAGCTTGATTTGCTATTACTTGAATTTAGGATTTACATGAACTTTTCTTCCTAAGTTCAAAACTGACTTTTTAAAAAGTCTGTGTGTCAATATTTTGATGCTCCTGATAGGCATCTATTAAAATTGTATGCACTGACTATACCACATTTGACCTAACCGAAAAACCAAACTCACTGCTCTCCCGTCAATTCTGCTCAGAGCGACCCCATAGGACAGGGTAGAACTGCCCCTGTGGGTTTCCGAGACTTTAACTCTTTAAGGGAGTAGAAAGCCCCATCATTGTCCCTCGGAGGGACGGATGGTTTCAACCTGTGGACCTGGTGGATGGCAGCATGGAGCATAAACCAGGGCTTCACCACCAGGCTCCTTCCACCTCACAGTACTTTTCAAATCAAGAGCCGCCAACTGATCTACTTCTTGTTAAACGCACTGATGGGTCCGTCTTATTTCAAGGCTGGAACTGATAGTGCCTTTCCTGGGGAGACAGTGCTTCAGGAAATTGGAACAGAGAAGATGGTGGGCAGAGGAAGCATCACGTGTCCCATGGGGATCCGGGAAGATGGTCAGTAGCTTTGGAACAAATGTAGCTCTGATATTTGAATAAAAGATTAGTTGATAGGAAATTTTAGGACGTTGGCTTACCGAAAAAGGAGCCACAGTGGAGCACTTGGCTTTCCTGCAGAGGTTTAAATAGCTCTCTGTTTCCTGAGGCAGACTCAGGACTTCACCATGTGCTTGTACTGGAGTCGCCATCATTGGGGAACGTTTTCTCTCAACGCCCCTTAAATTCGAGAACTGTGTTACGGTCTATCTTATGCAGTGACCTCTTTTTGGCTTTGTTTTTTTTTTGTCAATAATTTTTTCTCAGGCCGAAGGAGCAGAGTCTCTAGAATCTTTGAGCCTCAAAGGTAAAAGCCAATCTAATAAACATCTTCCCATCTTGAAGAGTGTGGACAACACGGATTCCAAAATGAAAGGCATAGGCAAGCCGAGGAGGTTCTCCAAGTTCAGCCTCTACCGGCAGCTCCACAGGCACCACCTTCAGAGCGCGGACAGCAGCAGCAGCAGCTTGGCCAGCACCTGCAGTAAGTCCTTGTCCTGGCGCCACTCTCGGTGCTGGTAACGACACTCTGTTCTCTCGTCAGTCTGTCCACCTGCTGCGACGGGCTGTCTTTCTACAGTGGACTCAAATGTGCCATGCTTAGCATCCTCCTGCACCCCAGGCCGCTTGATGGCCTCGTTGCCTCGATTTGGGGCAGATTTGTTGTTTGATTCGCATCGAGCAGGGGTAGCAGCCACAGTTCTTGCCTCTGGTGGTGGCAGAATGACTAAGCACTCTCCCGCTAAGCCTTGAAGGAGGAAGAGAATGATATGATGCACTTTATAGACTTTTCTTAGGAGAACTTTTAAGTCTTTTCCCATCCAGTGATACATCTGGTTTACAAAGTCTCTACATCCTGTAAATTTATTATTCTTTCCAAATCTGTTTTAAGGCCCTCCAGTTTTCTGTTGCACCAAATTTATGACTGGCTTTATAGCTTTGTGTAGTTCTAAGAAGGATCAAATGTGCTTTGAGTTTAGAAAACTTGATAGAGATATATGTATTTCTTTGGGGGGCGGGCGGGGAGAACTCTCAACTTTCTCCAGGTTGCTTTCAATCATTTTAGAAGTCATCTCAGAATTTCAGGCGTAGCTTAACCCCCCACTTGAAACTCTTCTTGCCATCCCAGTGAACCTGAGCAGGGACTTGTTGGACCTGGTGACGGGCAGAGCCTCCAGGGACTTCAGCTCTTGCTGCATTGTCTGCTGTGTGGGCACAGCGAGCCTGCTTCTGACTCGGCTTTGCGCGCGCTCTTTTCACGCCACATTGGTTCTTGAGATTCGGCTCTGTGCACTTCTACCCCGCAAGAACTTACACTCCAGACGTGAGGGTACACACACCTCATAGTCTCCGGAAGCTGCAATGGCTCAGTGATAGAATTCTCATCTTCCATGTGGGGACCCAGGTTGGCTCTCCGGCCAGTGCACCTCGTTTTCAGCTACCACCCCCCACATCTGTGTGTGGGAGTTTGTGTGTTGCCATGAGGCTGAACAGGTTTCCCTGGAGTTTCCAGACTAAGGCAAAGGCCTAGCGATCTATTTTGTATCTGAGAGTGAAAACCCTATGGGTCACAATGACTTTATCCCCTCGAGCATTGGTTGTCAGCAGTCAGGGGCTGCTGTGACAGCTTGTTGTTGTGGGGGGCCATCAAGTCGGTTCCGACACATAGCCACCCTAGCACAACAGAACTTTACACCGCCCGGGCCTGCACCGCCCTCCCAATGACTGCTCTATGTGAGCCCCTGGCTGCAACCACTGTGTCCACCCACCTCAGCGAGCAGGTAACCTCAAAAGCACCTATACCATGAGTGTCACGACCAGTGCAGAAGTGTGTCCGACATCCGTAGGTGGGAGCCCCAGAAAGACTTCTCTTCAGAAAGAGATAGGTGATTGAGGTCAAGAAAGATTTTGATTGGGGTGGTTGAGAGTAGGAAGGCATGACAGGTGAAGGAAATGGGTTCCACAAAGGTGAGGACATGGGAAAATGCTAAGTAGTAGAAGATAAAATAGATCACGCGGCTGAGAGGCAGCATCAGCTAAAAGGCTATGAAGATAAACAACGGTCACATTTGGAGCCTAGAATACTAAGCTGGGGAACGGGACAGTTGTTTAATTAAAGAATCTTGAAGGCCTTTGAATGGAGACATAAAGCTTTTAGACGCGAATTTTTAGAAAGTTTTATCTGATGACCTTTGGGAAAAAAGAACCAGATTCTCAAGGAATGAGTTAGGGAATAAAGTATGGTGGTGGGGCTGAAAAGGAATTTGGTAATTGGTCAGATAGAGCAACAAGGAATGTTCGTAACAAGCCACACTAATGGTAAAACCCTGGCTGTGCCGGGTGTCTGCTCTGAGTTCTTGTGGTGTTTAGTAGAGAGGCACACCTCGGAGATGCTGCAGTTTGGTTCCAAACCATGGCAATAAAGCAGGTATCACAGTAAAGGAAGTCCCATGAATTCTTGACTTTCCCAGGACACATAAAAGTTCTAGTTACGTTATCCTGCAGTGCAATAGCATTATGAGAAAGTTTTAAATATTGTGAGAGTTGACCAAAATGTGTCACAGAAACACAAAGTGCGCTACTGCTGTTGGGAAAATAGCCCTGATAGACTTGCTAGATGCAGGGTTGCCATAACCTTTAATTTGTAAAACACACACACACATTACCTGGAAAGCATAATACACCAAGGTTGGTCTGCCTGGAATATTGTTATCTCCATTTTATGGATGAAGAAACTCAGCCTTGGAGACAAGAGCCTGGCCCAGGGATGACCTACCTTATCAGCCTCCCAGGGCACATGGATCAGATGTGTGAGTGTGCAGAAATACAGGCCACTGTATCACTTTTGGGGAAATCCCAAGGCCATGGAGCTGAGGCCAGTCGGCAGCTAGTGGACATGGCTGGAGCTGAGTCACTCCTGGCCACCGGAGCTAATAAACTCAATCTATGAAGCTGGACCTTGAGCTGTGGTTCTCTGCATTCTTTCGTGTGAGGATCCACTTTAATATACAAATATCTTGAAGACCTCTATTTTAAAAAGAATAAATTGCTTAAGTTCAGTTGTTGTTTTTTTAAGCTCCAGTGTCACTGTTAAATGGATTGTTTATTTGTAAATCACACTAACATCAAAATACATTTGTAAATGGAGAACATGTGTGGGAGAAATACATTATTCCACATACAGCTGAGGCTTGGTAAGTGTATGAATTCAGGAACCACTCACAGTCGTGCTTACCTCCACAGAGTTTCAAAGCCCTGAGACTGAGAACCAAGAGGCTTCTCAAAGTCCCAGCAACCAGGTTAGAGTGACATGCAGGGCAAATGTTCCAGGTGATGACTATGTAACAGAGCTGTAACAGAATTCACAGGTGCTCTGTGAATTCCAGTGTGTGGCTCTGATGGTTCAGGACTGAAATTTGTCTTTGCTTGGTTTGTTTGGATAAGATGGAGAACTCATGACGTGGAGGGGGCTTATTATTGAATTAGGGCAGGGTCATAGTATTGCTGATGAGGAGACTAAGTGAAAAAGACATGCACTGGGCTTGATGTATTAATAACTCGGGGCAAGGCGAGGCCGACAGTGATGATGTCCGCAGTGATGGTCTGAGGAGGCCAGTATGCGTGGTTTGGCATGACTGATAGACAGTCTCCTTGGCATCCATCCACAGCCCCTCCTTAATCAACTGGAGGCATTTCGGGTGCAACATCCTCTTAAGATAAAGAAATGTAATGACATGTGAATGTCCAAACAGAACTAATTGTGTATGAGTTTTTATTTAACTAAATACCATATATACTCGTGCATAAGTCAAGTTTGTCAGCACATTTTTAATGCAGTTTGTGTGGTAACATTAGGTGCCCCAGCTGATGTTCAGGCTGGCTTATACTCGCGTATATACGGTACTCATGGAGCTAACAAAGCAAGGAAAATGAAGTGAACACTTCAGTGAAATTCTCCATTCAACTAGATCATCAAATACACAGTATCTCAGGTGCGGGCAACGGTCGTGGGGAGCGATACAGCTGGGGAGGGCAGAGGCTCCGTGAGAACAAAGGGAACCCCTTGTGCAATGGATTGGCGCAGTGACAATGGGCCTGACCCCTCTCTGAGCTGGATTGGCCCCGCAACACTGGGTCTAAACACGTCAGCGACCGTGAAGAAGGTGCAGGGCCAGGCCGCCTCTATAAGCAATGTTGTAGGTGAGGTTGCCATGAATCAGAGCTGACTCCATAGCCATGACTGGTACCAACAAGGGAAGAAGGGTCGGCGAGAGGGGTTATTACGGTTCATATAGGCGTGTTGGAGCATGCTTGTCAGATGAACAGATGTTTTGACAGACCAGAACTCGCAAAGCCAAACCCCCTGCCTGCCGACTCTTTGTGACCCCCCTATGGAAATCTGAAACTGTCCTAGGACCCCTTCATACAGTTCCCCATGTGGTGGTGACCCCCCC